TTTGATCCCTGATCTACAGAACCAGAGCCCAGCAGCAAAAGGAATTTGTTAAAAGAATAGGGATGTGAATGACTAGTTGCTCCCCCCTCCCATGAGAAAGTGACAGCGGGGGGCAAAGCAGGGGGAGAAGACTAGGGGGTGCTTCAAAGCCGCAGTGCTGCATAGAGCCTAGGGCCAGACCCCGGGCTCCACGCAGCGTTTCAAAGCAGCAGTGCCACGTGGAGACCTTGGGCTCTGTGGTGCTGCTGCTTTGAAATGCCACAGGGAACACAGGGCCGGGGGGGACTGCTTGAGTCCCCCACTGATCCCATCCTCCCCGCAGTGCTTTCTCCTTTGAAGTGTAGCAACAGCCTTGGAGAGGCGGAAACATCCTTATTGACTAATCGAATAGTCTATACAAATTGCACCAATTATTCGATTAGCTCAATAATCACAATTTTACATCGCTAAAAAGAAATACAAAAAAATGCATCTGAATGCTGATGACTTTATAATGATAAGGTTATTGGCAGGGAAGCAGCATTATCTACAGTTGGTGTAGGTTAAATGCAAAAAGAAAACAAAACCCACACAACTCCAAGCCAAAAACAATCAGGAAACAGTCTTAAAGTTTTGCATGTTCACCTGGGGAAGCTCAAAACTATGACTCCTACATCAGCAGTAACCTCTGTCCCCCGGCACACATACACCTTTCATTGTCTGTGCATGGCTGAATAGGTCTGCATGGAGTGTTTAAGCTACAGTGGTAATAACTGCGTGACAGCTCAAATGCCATGCTGCATTTAATGTCTGTTCTGCATTTGGGTTAATTATTCGTCAGCTTAAATAATGAAAGCAGTAACTCGGCAAAGCACTTCTGCGTGTACTTAAGTCCTGGTAAGCATGTACTTGGGTATCTTGTTAATTTGAAGCGCTTTGCTGAATCATGAGCCGAACACAGTCTAAAGGGAGATGTGGTGCATTTCTAGCAACTGCACATTCAAGGAAACGCGCTGATGTCTTGAGGAAGTGGGTCTTGTGGGATCCCATCAGACGCTTCATACTGGGTGGGGGAGAGGGGGAGGAAAATGTTAATGGTCAGAGGTCAGTCCCCAACAAGCGTTGAAAGAGCATTGCTAGACTGAGAGCCAGCACTGGTGCAAATCTCCCACATGCAGACAAGCCCCGAGGAATCAATAAGAAATGCTGCTCCGATAACTCTAAGGCCTTGGCTACGCTGGTAGGTTTTGTCGCTAAAAAACACCTTTTGGCGACAAACCAGTGAGAGCTGGTTTAACACTAAGGATGTTAAATATCAGTTAATTTAATAGTTGAGTAGTCGATGGAATTTCCATCGACTAGTCGATAGGCACTTCCGCATTCCTCCTTTGAAACGTGAGGCTCTTGTACATTTCAAAGGAGGAATGCGGAACTCCACGTGCAGCCCGGGACCAACAGGAAGTCCCGCTTAACTTTGGGCTGCACGCAGATGCCAGTTTTGAAATCTACAAGAGTCCCCAGTGGAGGTGCCCTCATGGACCTCAGGGTCAGTGGGGGATTCTCCAGCTGAGTAGAGGTTCTATGCAGCATTTCCCGAGAACCCAGGGTAAGCTGGGGACTCACCAGCTGATCCTGGGTTCTATGGAAATGCCACATGGACACCCGGGATCAGCTGGGGAGTCCCAGGCTTACCTCGGGCTCCACGTGACACTGCTGTTCAAAGGGGCAGCACTGCACAGCTGATTCCAGACTTAGTTGTGCGGTGTTGCCACTTTGAATGCCACCTTGGCGTTTGAAAGCGGCAGCTTCACACAGCTAATCCCGGGATCAGCTGAGCAGCACTGCCTTACGGCCTCCCTGCAGCACTGCTGGTTTGAAGTACCCCCTCTACCCACCCCTCTTTGCTGCCTCTATCAGAGAGGCAGCAAGGGGGGGGGAAATCAGTCAGTCAGCTGTACTATCCGATAAGCATTTGCTTATTGGATAGTTGACTAGTCCTTAACATCCTCAGTCTACACTACAACGCAACATTTTTGTCTGGGAAAAATACCCACTTTTGACGACACAAATTTCATCCCTGCAAAAGACTTTTGTCTTTTCCCCTCTCTTTATTGTTGACACAGAACCAGTGTAGACTGTGGTGTTTGTTTTTGTCATGAGAACTGACTTCTGCCGGTATCCCACAATGCCTACACTGATGGCTCTGTTCAGTGTTTTGTGATCTCTGCTGCCCTGCGGGCATGCACTCTTCTCCTTTCAGAGCTCCAGGAAGTATCTAACCAATTCAGTGAGCTGCCACCTTTGGGGAACAGAGTAAAGCAATAGAGTAAATGCTCCTGTTCTGCTGCTGCGGGGGTGGCCTGGAGATATGGTTGTGCTGCTCTGACATTCCTCAGCACTGAGAACTCACAGAGATAGGAGGGATTCCCAAGAAGCGCAGGGATCAGTTCTGTCTACCCACTATGCTTTGTTCTGTTGACAGGGGCGCTAGCCATGTGGCCCAGAAATGTCCTCAGTGGGAGGCAGAAAAACTGGTGTGATCAGTTTTCACTTTCGCGTGTTGACAGCACTTGTTGCCAGTCCTTCCCAGTAGGCATAGCCTAAGCTTTACAGGGCAGGTTCTGTTTTATTCTTCGCTCCTGGAAAGTGCCAGTCGTATATGTGCTGACTCTAACTGTGAACGGGAAGGGTGTAACTCCATGCAGCATTTCTGGGGATGTGTTGCTACCTTTGATATTTCCACATGTCACAGAGTTGAATTATTTTCACTTAGTAAAATTTCAGAAGCTGTGGCTATGTAAAATGTGAGCGAGTCTTGTGCTTTCTGAGCCTGCATAGGAGAAGCAGTGGGGGGAAACCCTACTGAACCTCTGGCTAGGACAATGGTCTCCAACCTTTTTAAGCACAAGGTCACTTTGAATTTAAGTCAGTCCAGGATCTCTCTCAAACCCAAATACCTCTGCCACGCCCCTTCACCAACGTCCCTCCCCTTCGCCGAGGCCCCACCATCCTCACTCTGTGAAGATGGGGAATAGAAGAGGGGGACAGAGTGACGTCAGTGCCTCCCTGCCTCTGTCTCCCACAATGAGCAGAGACTCTCTGGGGCAGCTCTGGGCAGGAGCAGCAGTGCAATGCGGGCTGGGGCAGCTGAAGTGCCGGCACTTCACAGCCTCCCAGCCAAACCAGTTAAGATCACCTGTCAGAGACTCCAAGATCTACCAGTAGATCCTCAGCTACTGGTTGGCGACCACTGGACTAGTATGATTTCACTCCTCCTGAAGTCTGGGCTGAGAAGTCTACCTTGTGTTTATTTCCTTCCAGAGTGAGTAAGCAGTGGAATAGTTGGAGAACAATTCTAGTACGGAAGGCAGCTACTGTCTGTATTTGTGTGTGTTTCAGTTTGTCAAACAGGCCTCGGGTTACGCATTCAAAACCTAAACCTACCAATGACGGTACCTGATCCCACAGCCACCTAATCACACCCTCTGGCAAATGCCTGAGGTAAATCTGGGCTTTGCCCCACGCCCTAAAGGTCAACTGACGTGGGCTCTGTCAGACCACGATTTAAATTCCACGTGCAAAAGGGTCTTTCGTAAAAACGCACCGTAACCAAACCCATCACAGTTCATTGTAGTGACTGGCATATTTCAAGCATTCCAAAATCATGAGTTGGGTCCTCAAAGTTGTGAGATTCTATATACCCTCTCCCCTTCCGGCCCTAGAGGCAGGAGACACCGTGGCCACACGGTCTGGGGCTGGTCCCAGACTGTTTGGACATAGCAACGGCACCTCCAGGGCTGGCCCTGGGCAGCCTGGCCACGGTAGCGGCGCCTGTGGGGACGGTCCTGGGCCACAGCACCTCCAGCTTCCAGGACAGCCTGGGGATGCGTGGCCATGGCTGCGGCACCGCCGGGGCTGGCCCAGGACCCCATGGTCGAGGCGCCGCTGAGGAGCCTCAGCCCCACTGCTGCCTCCTCTCCAGTGGCTGCGCGGGGGCAGGAGGGGTGGGACTGAGTTCCTTTCCCCCGCGGGGCACATGCCACAGGTTGGGCATGTCCATTCGGGGGTGGGACCTGGAACTGTCTCGTGGACCAGATCCGGCCTACTGAGGGTCTTTTTCCCACCCCTGCTTTACGCCATGCAGAATCCCAATAACTCTCCTTGAACATCGGGGTCAATCTACTCCTGTGTTGCAAGATTGGGTCCCAGGTTAGGCAGGCGAATGAGTAATAAGATCAAACATGTGGCCTGCAAAGAAACGAGGGGACAGAATATTTTCTGGGGAGAGAGCAGCCTCGTGCAAAGACCGAAGCTCATTGATTACTTGATCAGCAAATATTTAGGTATTGTAAAAATGCATCTCCAATTGCATCTCTAACTTGCACATTGTTCTCATGTTCCACGAGTGCAGAAACAATTGCAAATTGCCAGGTTTGTTTTAGAAGGTCATTTTTGTTTGTGCAATTGCTGTGACTTCACTGTGCAGGCAGGCTATTAAAGATCAAGCACATGATATGCATTGTATAGTCCTTGGAGGGTTTTATATGTTTTCTTTTAAACATCAGACATGGGGAATGGTGGGCAGCATCACAGTGTAAATTACTAAACCTTCTCTAAATGCCCCCTTTTTTTTAAAATATTGAGATCATATGTTGCAATAGGCTTGAAGGTACCAGGATAACAAAATCCCTACAGCCGAATGTTAAATTGTAAAAGTAAGTGCGTATAACGCATGACTTTGTAGAGATGTAATGAAAATTACATTTCACTGTGGAAAGCAGGATGTTGATGCTGTACAGCTTTTCTTCAAAGGCTCCAGTATAGTTTACCTCTGACTTCACCATACGTTTGCCTGCCTTGTAAAATCGGTTTTGTGGCTTTGGCAGCCCCTTGTGAATGCCTTCTTTCTTTTTTTTATTGAATCTTGTCAGACATTTGGCTGTCTTCTCATCTCTCTTCAGAAGCAGGGAATCCAGCTGTGAGAGCTCTAAATGTTCTTTGTCTCTAATGCATTGTTGCAGAAGAAGAGGATGGAGATGAAGCTGCAGAATTTCAGTTGTCTGGGAAAATTGGAGCAAAGAAACAGAGGAAGCTAGAAGAGAAACAAGCCAGAAAAGCCCAGCGAGAGGTGAGTGTTTGGTACTATACCTAAAGCACAAAGCAAAGGGCAGGTGATAGCTGACCTATAGGAGGCAGGAGGAGTTTGGTCACAACAGCTGGGAATGTCATCAAAAGTGTGTGTGTGGGGAACATTTTGCTTTGGGGGCGTACCCTCCCCATCCAATCGTCTGGGCCTCTGGAAGAGCAGCTGATAGTTGTGATTGTTTATTGTACAACCTGAGTCACACAGCCCCTTAAACATACACCCCCACTGAAATTTGATTAATGTCGCTGTGCAGAAGCATCCCGGCCCCCAGACCTGCTTCAGAGTGTACGGACGTGTCCAGACCCCCACCGTGGTGCCTATCCCTGCAGCACTGCACAAGGATATTTGAGGGCTAGCGGGCTGTTTCCGAAACCGACCAAAAAGGAGCTTAGGGCTTGCCCTTGCTGCCACCTCAAGTTTGCAGTATGATTAAGGGAATGTCTATGCAGTGCTCCATGTTCACCTACAGGGGGGAAGTCCCCTCTCTAACCACCTGCTGTGCTGGTTCTCCATGCACAGACTTTCTCTGTTCACTCCTGGGGGAGTGGATGAGAATTTGGTGACCTAGGCAAGCTCTCTCTTTGCAAAGCCCGTTGACGTTTCTGGGAGCTGAGCATTCAGTCCCTAGGCCAGAATTCAGCAGAGAGCAAAAACCCTAGAAAACAGACATCCCTGTGCTATGAATATCTTCCGTTTCCTAAGCTCTAGCTCTGCATATTGAATTACCAGCTTAACCACTCTGGCATTTTCAGTTGCACGTGTTTAGTTGCCCCTGGACTCCCAGCTGTTAATCAGCAGCAGCAGATCTTCCTAAAGCACATTAGTGGGTGATTCAAGTTTTTATACATTAATTTCTTTTTCCTGTTCTACTTTATTGGCCTGCAGTCTCTGTAACCTGGAGCATGGTTTGCAAAAGCTTGATGTAACTACAACAGACTTTTGTGTAACAGAGAAGTCCCCACAGTACCTGAGTGAATGTAGTAATTAAGTCTGTTGGGCTGAAACTGACCTCTGCACTGGATCCACACACAGCCCCACATAAGCCCTGTGTTAAGAAATAAAGTGGTGCCTGGATTTTACAAGGATTACATTTACGTAGGCTTGCTGTGGTAATAAGCACTATAGATAGCATGCATGGTAGCAAACACTGCATGATTAGGGATAGACTTCCATTCCGATTCTGCCTTCATTTGCTCACAATCATTTTGGGGTTTACTTTCTGTGCTTGACTTCTTATGCAGGATTGGAGCAAAATCAGATCAGTAGATCAGTGCTTTTCAGACTGCTAGGATTTCCAAAGTGGTTTCCACCTCCAATTGAATTTTTTTAGCAGTCTGAAAATGAGAAAAGGTTGAAAATCAGAGTTAAATAAAGGGTGGCAGAGGGAGGCAGAAAGATTCTTTGGTCCATTTGAAATCAAGCTGATTTTCTTTTTCCACACAGATAACCGGTCAGCTGTTTTGAGTTAAAATGACACTATTCCAGGTGGCACTTCCTCAATGAGGATGCATCTCCTGGCTATTGACTTTAAAAACAACAAATTAATTAATTATTTTTTCAGTGGGGAGAAAGGAGGGAAATAATTTTTAAAAAAATCAGTATCAAGATGTTCTAAAATGATAGTCTAAATCATCCATTACAGGACATCCTCGCTATACGTCGCCCTGGCATGTGTCGGCTCTTCGTGAACATCATTAATTGTTGTAGGAACTGTTGTGTTATAAGTCCTCCTATTCCCACTTTTGCATCGCACACAAAAAAAGACCAGTTCATGAAAGTGAACTGGGGGAAGAATATTCCCCGCTTGACATCATTTTGCTATAAAGCCACATTTTTTGGAATGTATCTTGGACATATAGCAGGGATGCCCTGTGATTTCCCCCTTCCCCTCTTTCCCCTCCCCTCCGCCCTTGGAATAATTTGAGGTATTGGCTCTGGTGGTTGGTTATTTTGGAGGAGAGGGGTCATCTTGTATTTTTAAGTTAAATTTAGTCTTCCTTAACAATAAGATTTCCATTCTTTATCTAGGAGAGCAATTTATCCATTTGAACTGTAAAATAATTTAAATGTGATTTCATTGTAAATTTAGAGGATGCCATTCAGATTAATAAGAACAAAATTCAAGGTAGATTTAAAACTAGGGTTTTTATGATTGCAAAGTTTGGTTTTTTTTATTTAAAGTGTAGGGAAAAGTAAATGGTTGTCACAATATACAGTAGCAAAGCTACAAGAATCAGCTAATATGTGCATTCAGTGGAGATGAAAACTTTGACAAAGGAAACTGATATTTTAAATCACCATAAGGATAATTTATAAACTTAGTGGAAATACTAAAATTCTAAACAAACAGAAAACTCTGATGATAAACTAGAAGACCTTCTTTCAAAAAAAAAAAATCAGTTATGTATTTCTGGATACAAGAGTCCAGGAAACTGGTAAGAGAGAACTGATGCTTTGTGAAGTATGAAACCAGAGATTGAGAGAGAATAATCTATGGCTTTTTAAAAATTATTTTTAGGCTGAAGAAGCAGAGCGTGAGGAACGGAAAAAACTCGAGTCAAAGAGAGAAGAGGAAAGGCAGAAAGAAGAGGAGAGAATACGCCTTGAAGAAGAAAGACAGGTGGGACATGATTGTGTTTGCAGATGGAAATTTTAAAGGAAATTTTGCCGGCTTTATCAGACAAGCCTTTGATGGGTTTTTTGTTTTGTTTTGTTCCGTTATTATTTGTATGATAGTGCCTAGAGATACCAACCAAGAGCAGGATCCTGTTGTGTTAAAAGTTTGACAGACAGAGACAGCCCCTGTTTGTCTATGTAGACAAGGCAAAGGGGAAGTGACTAAACCCCATACTCTCACAGCTGGTCAGTGGCTAGAATGCTCATCTATTGGCTCCTAGTCCAGTTGGCTGTCTGTTACTCCACACTGACTCCCTTTGTGTTAGAACTTTGCCATTGAAGAGTTGTTTGGTTGATTTGCTGTGACATGAATGCTGATTTAGTCACCCAAGGGACCATCAAAAACAGCTTGGTTTTTAGGAGAGTTACTTTAAGAAGCCCTGTCCAATCGTAGTGGGAGCTTTGGGAAGATATTTCCGACTGGTTTCCTATGGGAGGGGGCTGGTTATCAAAAGCCTTCTGAGCCCAGCTTTCACTGTAACTTTAAAACAGTCATGTATAAAGTGAAAGACTCATCAAAGCCGGCGTGCTAGAGCAGTGTTTCTCAACCAGTGGTACGAGTTTCTTAGGGGTACCCAAGAGAAGTCTGGGGAGGGGGGGGTACGTCAGCACAACTGAAATTTGGAGAAAACTGAATTTTTTTGTTAAGTTTTACAGCGCTTTATTATTTTTGTACTTTTTACACCCAAAAATTTCATCGTCTACCCGGCTACGATTAAGTTGTTTAAACAAATGTATTGCAATGGCGCGCACACATTTTGTGTGTCTGAAAACTGTAGGTACTAAGGTACTTATAATTTTTTTAAAGGGGGAACATACATACATACACACACACACATATATATATATATATTTTTAAAGGGGTACTTTATAAAAAAAAAAAGATTGAGAAACACTGTACTAGGCTGCTGTAGTGCTTTCTGGGGCCATCACAATGTGAAAACTTACTTTGGAAATCTTTAAAAATGAATGTTGGTGTGCGTAGCAAGAAAGGTTAAGAAAAGCAGGTACTGGGCATACCTCAGAGCCTCTGGGAAAGTGTCCCTTCAGCTAGGAGACTGGAAGGCCAAGCTGTTCATCCTAGATTTCTCTGAGCAGCAAGAACCACTCTGGAGACAGCTAGCGGGGAAGAAGCAGCTTCATATTCTCTTGGGCACATGAGCAAGCTGTACAGAAGCTTTGGGGGATGCAGGCAGGGGTGAGTCGCTGTCAGACGTCATGTAGCAATGCACATTGCAGTCACACCTACCAATGAAGCCTGAATACCCTCTGGGTGAATCGCCTGGCATACGGGAATGAGGATGCTGATTTGTGTCTGCCTGCTTGCACTAAGTGGGTTTGTTTTAGTTATTCCAAATAGGGATTGTGTCTGCTGATATCCGAAAAGATGAGACCCGTGGCCTTTTCACATTTGGAGGTGAATGCACAGAACAGCGCGTAGGAAGTATTGTAAGCATGCTTGAGAAGACACACTTTACAGAAGGAAACCAACAGAAGATGCCTAACATGCTCTCATTTTTCTGCAGAAACAAAATGTTTCTGGGTCACCCATTGAAAAATTTCTCCCTCACGTCCCAGCTGTTCCGACAAGCTAGTACATCAGTGGAAAGCGTCTGGGCTGTTAGTTTTTTATGAATGGTGAAAGTGTTATCCAGAGCAGCAAGGGTGAGCAGGGATTTGTAAAAAAAAAAGCCAAAACAAAAGTGTTTTGGAAGGGGATATAAAACCTTGTGTTCCAGCTCTGCCTCATGGGGCTCAGGAACGAACATTCCCTGTGAGCAAGTTGCTCCATAATCCCCCACTCCGCAGTTTCTTGCACCTTCCTTGGAAGCAGCTGGTACTGGTCACTGATGGAGACACGATGCTGGACTAGACAGAGCTCTCGTCTGATGCAATATGGCAATTCCTGTGTTAAACAAAACCTTCTGATTTCAAAATCGGTCATCAAACACAACCACCACAGCCAGTGGCTTTCTTCCCAGGAAAGCTATTTGCTCAATATGTGCAAGCTGCCGGAGCACAAGCTTCCTCAGGAAGGGCAGAGAGGGTGGCAAAGGGTATTTTGCAAAGTGATGGTTTCCTTCACTCCCAGTATCAGTGACTTGAACTGGAAGCAGCATGAAAGCTGCGTAGAGTCTACTCAGCCTGTGCTGAGTAGTAGGTATGTGTAGAACTTTCCACCATGATGTTGCTGCATTAGAGGGAAAAGATCAAAGCTGTCTCTGCAAAATTTACTCTATCCCAAATTAGGGATGTAAAAGACCAGTCGACCACCCGATAAGCCTAGGTTTAACCCCGCACCGCACCTTTGCCTTTTAAGTGTCGTAAGAGCCACGCAGCTCTTATAACATTTAAAAGGCGGAGCCGGGATAGCAAACGCGCTCTTCTCTCTCTCCTCCCCGCGCGCCCCCCCCCCAATTGACTAATTGAGTATTCGATGAAAATTCCATCCACAAGTCGATCAGCTGATTATCTGCAACTTAACTTCCCTATCCCCAAATGAGTACCTTTATTATGGTCAAGTGAATTTGCACAAATGTTATTACTTTTTCATTGTCACTGTTCATGGTCAAGTGGGAGGGAGAAAATGTTTGCGCATGGGCTGGTGTGTTTTCTATGACAGCTTTGCAAGACTGGGGGAAAGGAAGATGAATAAAGACACTCAGGCTCCTGCAAACCCCAGCCTAAATCTAACTATTATGGTTTTAGATGTGTATTATTTGCAACAGTATCTTAGTAGATCCTTTCGTTCCTTCAATAGTCTTGTAACTTTAATGGGGACAACAGGTCTACCCACTAGGCTGTTGTATCAGAGCATCTTACCGTCTTACAAAACACACCCACCGTTTATAAGCAAATGAATTTCATTTTATGAGCAAGAATACGGTAGTCAAGTAAGCATCAAATGCTCCAGACTCATCCACAAGTCCAGCTACTCTGGCCATATGTAGTTCTTGAGTTGAGCTGGACTTCTGTTATAATCACTACTCTTCCTGTTAACTCTTCTTTGAATCTCCAACAGGAAATGGGACCATTCTAGTGCCCTGCCCTTTTTCCCTGAGGACTAGACCTGTAATCAAAAGCTCGTGATTCAGCTAGGGGACAGAGTAGCATGTACAAGGAGGGTCACAGTAACAGGTGTTTAACCTGGTAGTATAGGCGATTGCAAGTTGCTGGCTTCCTCACCAGCCTGAGGAATTTATCACTCACACCAAGTTGGTCTTCAGCTCTTGGTTCTGAGCTCCACTTACTGTCCAGATGGCCATGGACTCTCACAAGGCAAACAAAACTTCCAGATGGGTCTTTCTGCCCAGCAGTGGTGCCTAGGGTATACTGCCTGAGGTCCCCACGTCCCCGAGAGATTGCTGCAGGAAACGGTCTCTTCCCACAGTGCTCCCTCAAGGTACCCGATTGCTTGCCTTTGTAATTGACGACTCCTTTCACAGTTAAGTCTGATAATTGGCCAGGCCACTGGCCCTTAAAGGAACGGGTCTACCCTTTTACAGGGAGAATAAAAGGGAGTTTAAAAATTGGGTATCTGTACACCCCAGTGCACGTGTTGTGCTAACAGAAAGAGACATTCTATGCACAACACTCTCACTTTCAAGTCATCTTACAGACTTGGCCTATTATATCCAAGTATTAATCTGGCTGACTCCTTTCTTTCACAAGGGCCAGGAGAGGCGATGCTGTTTGCAGACCACCCACGCTAGAATGTGCCTTACATGCATTCCTTTTATTTGAAAAAGACAAAAAACCTTAAATTGCTTTCCAGAAACATAATGCCTGGAACCAGATTTTGTGGGCGGCATGCGCACCATTCCTAACCACCTGCTTCCATTAGATGATGGAAAGGCAAATTTATGAAAGATTTATGCAACCAGAGATTGATCAGCGATTAATGTAACATGGGAGGAAAGCCGGTTACAGAGCTTTGTATCTCCAGCTCTGGGTTTTGTTTGATACCGATGCTTTTGTTGCAGAATCATCATCCCCAAAACATAGTGAATTCAGAATTCGGTATTAAGAGTTTGGCTAAGAGATTGTGTTGAGTCTTTCTAATATTCTGATGCTTGTCTCAGATTCATCCAGTAACTCCTGCATTTCAAGATAGCTCAGCCATTTACTCCTTGGCTGCGTCTAGACTGGCATGATTTTGCACAAGAGCGACCGCCTGTCTTCGAGTATTTGCGCAAGAACACTGACTTTGTAATGTACAAAATAAGTGGTTCTTGCACAAATACTCCGACTCCCACTCAGGGATAAGTCCTCTTGCGCAAGAGGGCCAGTGTAGACAGCCATGTTAATTTCTTGCGCAAGAAAGCCCGATGGCTAAAATGGCCATCGGAGCTTTCTTGCGCAAGAGAGCGTCTACACTGGCACGGATGCTTTTGCACAAAAGCACATGCCAGTATAGACGCCCTGTTGCGCAAATACTTTTAAGGGAAAAACTTTTCCGTTAAAAGTATTTGCGCAAAATCATGCCAGTCTAGACGCAGCCCTAGGGTTTTTGTGTTTCTCTTCTTTCTGATTTCTAAGATGTTTTGGAGCAGTTATGAAGGGAAATAGCAGTGTCATGGATGTGAAAAAGCACTATGTACAAAATATCCCAATAACTGTTTTGTGTAATGTAAGTTCTGAGAAGGCCACTATTTTTTCACATGGAGACTGTCCATGCCATAGGAGCACCATGATCTATATATGCAAGAGAAGTTATTTAAAGACTGCTATCTTACAGATGAGCAGTAAAACTCTGAGTTACCATTAGAATGTCTTTCTTTTTGTGTGTATCTTGTAGAGAGCTGCCAAAAGAGGTTTCCTTTCCACAGGAGTTGACATTTACTTCCTGTAGCGAATGCTGGGTTTTTCTGTTTGCCTGGAGAAGCTGGTTACACCCAAAACAAACCGCTAGATTCTCTCCAGTGATCCAGACAGATGGAAAAT